GGCTCTATGAAAACACTAAAAAGATTTTTTACCCAAGCTCTTTGCTAAACATTTTGCTAAATTAACACTACGATATGGTATTATACAGTATATTAAAATTTGGTAATTTTGTCATGATACCTTAGAGCATTGCTTTTTAACCGCCGGGTCGTGGATCGGTGGTAGAGAAAAAGTGCACCGCTATTCACAAGTTCGCAAACACTGTTACTTTAAATTTGTTACTTATTCAATATCGAATAAAATCTTTTTTTCCCTACTTATTAGAAAAAAGATAAAAAAGACTAAAATCAGATTTCTTTTTGTCCTTCAGTAGCTACTAAAATTTACAGGGAGTGGGCAAAATATTGGAAAAACTTCTAAGCTCATACAATTTCTCATATTTTTCAAAAAATACTTAAAGACTCTTCTATTACTTCAGAAGTGTTTAGATTATGCAATTTCTCATATATATCGTTAAAGTTTAAAGCTTTAAGAAGTTTGAGCGACCGACAATAAATTACAAACGGAAAATTGTGTTTTTGATCACACTATGTTAAACAATATAGCAAAATTATTGTAACTTGCAACGAAAATTTTAAATATTATTTGTAATAAGTGCAAAAAATTTCGTATGTCTAGCTTAATTGTTTATGGAGATTTCGAGATTTTTATTAAAAAAAAATTTTTTTCGTCTTAGGTTTTTTTATAACTTTAAAAATATTCAATAAAATTAAACAAAATTTTTGGAGCAATTTAAAATGAGCAACAATTTTTTTTTAAATTTGAGAAACATTTGACTAAAACTGCGCAATGAAATATGAGTAATTAAATTAGTTCTTTTATATTGTGAAATTCACGGGAAAAATGTTAACTTTTTTTCTTAATTTTGTAGTGAATAATATTTGGCAATTAATTAAAAAAGTCTGATTTGAATATCTTAAAAATTTCAAAAGTTTCAAGTAATTTTCTAAGTAGTTTTCTTACTTTTTAAAAGATAGTTCGAAATGTAAGGAGTTTTCCACCAATTTTATTCTATATTATTAAACAAGATTTATTAAAAACGGCACCGGTTTTGTTGGAAATAATTCTCAGAAAAGTATCTTTTCCTTTGCATGTTTTCTTTCCCTATACAATGATATTTCTATGTATGAGCGTTTATCGCGAGGTATTATCATGTGTTACTTAATTTTGTCTTAAGATACAAGATAACATTTGTGCAAAACCCCTTAGAATTTTCAGTTTTATCCAAATTTCAGCAAATACTTTCAATTTTGCACTTCAAGTAAATACATTTTACAGTCTTAATCGAATGTAAAATCGATAAAAATATAATCGATTAAAAAAATCACTACTAATAATGTCTAACAACTCTAAACAGAAAAAATACTTTATTAAATTCCAACACGTTGCAACAAATCTCCATTCCCCTCTCTAACTTAAATGCAGACATCATAAATTTATACGCACTATATTCAAAAAATCGTTAAAAAAGGACATTAAAAAAACATGTTTTTTGAATCTGTAACTAATTTGAACTTCTTTTCGACTGGCTTAGGAATTTAAGAGGCAGAGAAATGAAAATTGATCTTTCGCCATTTTTTTTTCTTTTAAGAAACAATTTACATTTTTACGAACATATAAAGTTGTAGTTTTCCAGAAAATCGAAACAAAACCAGAGAAATAAAACGCAATATGTTAGTAAAATGAACTTTAAATTGACGTGCGAAGTATGTTTTGCCATAAACTTCGACGAATGAAATTTTTTCTTGCACCATTTTTTTTTCTTCATGCCAGTCATATTATTATTTCTCCCTATTTCCAAAAATAATAACGCGAAAATTTTTGTTCGAAGTAGGATTTTATTGATTCGATGTACTTTTATTTTTCCAATTGCGAAACTCTAAACTTCAGCAAAAAAGTATTGCAAAAGGTCGGATCGAAAAACTTAAATTTCGAATTCCGAGTCGATGTTTTATTCTTTTTTCGCGCTAATGGTCTTCGTTTTGCAATATTTCATGCTAAGCTCCGTGACATAAACACGTTTTGCTTTCCCACTTTTCGTTTATGTTTATCGACAAAACAGAAAATGTGTTACAAAGTATCATAATAAAACATAGAGATTAAATTTAAATTGTTTTTGATAAGAGAGATAAGAAAGAAATAATAAAAACGAATGTGTGAATCATTGATTACTTTTTTCGCCAGTGGAAACTCAAGCTGAAATTAATTGAACGTGCAGAACTATTAAAAGCCTCAGAAAAATAAATTTAACGTCTTTTGTTCGTAAAGAAAATAAAATCTCCAATATTTCCGTAATGGAAAGAAAAAAAAACCCGCGGTTGTGTAGAATTTTTATCCTATTTATGGTGGGAGAATTATTTCGACATCAAGACACTTTCTTTTTGTTTAATTATGACATTTACGAACTGTCTTTTATTTCTTAATTCAAAAGGAATATTCTAGATATGTCATTTTGCTATTTAATGTTTTGCTATTTTTGTTTTAATGTTTTTTTTTAATTTTTTTTTATTTATTTATATTTTGCAGCACTGTTAATTTATTTTAAATAATTTTCTTCGCTACTGTTATTTATTCAAGAAATTTATATCCTAAAATATAATTTAACCTTTCAATAAGTTTTTAAATGCATAATATTTAAATAATATTAATATTAATATTAGATTGAAAATAACTTAATAAAGAACGTCATACAGTAACTGTCAACAAATGATTGCTTCAATAAGAAATTTATAGACCACAAAAGAAAAACATATTTAATTATTTTACATTATTTCATTTTACATTATTTCATTTTACATTATTTCATTTTACATTATTTCATTTTACATTATTTCATTTTACATTATTTCATTTTACATTATTTCATTTTACATTATTTCATTTTACATTATCTTATATTAAGAATTTTGTGTCTCAAAATATGTTTTTATTACTCATAAACTGCATAAAAGTTCTTTTTTATTATAGTTGAAAATTAAAATAATTTTGCGAAAAAACTATTTCATATTAAAAATTCTGATTAAAATAGAAACTCTCATTTATTATTAAATGTGTTGTTTTGAACGTTAAAAAAATATTGTGAACTCGATTGAATTTCTGCCGATATAATTTAAACCTTTTTATAAGCTTTTAAAAGCGTAATATTTAAGTAATATTAATATAAATATTAGATTAAACATATCTCAATAAAGAGTGCCGTACAGTAATTTTCAAAAGACAAAATTTTCCCTAAGAAAATTTATAGACAACGAAAGAAAAACATATATTTAGTTATTTTACATTATTTTATTTTATTTGAAGTATATTTAAAATAGTGAATGAAGCAAAATATACAAAAATATATATATGTGTGTCTTTGGCATTTAAAATAAAAATTATAAAAGTGGTTTTGAAACTATTTCAAATTTTTTTTCAAGTTTTAACAGCTATCATGTATATTATAATGACATAAATTTTTTTAAAAGCACCGTGTATCACGGAATATCATATATCGCATTGTCAGCTCTAAGAATTTCAAATTATTAGCCAGTAAATTAGCCAAATATCAAAAGTATTCTCTAATTTTTGAAATTCTTCGCCAAATGCAAATCTTAACAATTTATGATTATTTTTTCTCTATAGAATTATACAACGATGCTTTATCTATATTTTACGGTAGTTTGTTTCAGGCTGATATTATTTGGACTCAATTCTAATTGGTTATGCTGCGCATCTACCGAAAATTACTAATTTGTTTGGAAAAATTCATTTTGACGTAATTTTGAGGATTGAGTTAAATATATATTTTTCTTTCCAGTGGAAAAATCATCCGCCAATACTTCCGACGAAACACAATTTCATTCGTTAAATTTACGATTTCATTGCATTTGGCTAGGTGGTGAATGCTTAGCGTGGGCCCTGCATGCATAATGGTATCACGTATCACTTTTCATGAAATAGTTTTCATTAAAAGCGATTCAATATCAGGGTTTATGTCATTTAGTTAAATCTAGTCTTTAAAACAATCCAATAGATTATATGAGAATATAATAAAACGCACCCTAGTAACGTTTGATTTTAAATTAAGTAAATGGGGTGAAAATTAAAAAAGTTACTAACAAGCGAATTAAAAAAGGAATCTAGATTTTCTTAAAAAACCCCAACAATTGGTACACTTATATTTGCATTTATTTCAGTAAAGCCGTGTACATTCCGTATTTATTTAATTTTCGACTTTTACACTAAAAAAAATTTTAAATTTATAAGTAGTCAAATTAGTTCAAATTTAAAAAATATATATTTCTCTAAAAAGTCCTCTATGGTTTTCTAATCCAGGTAAACGATAGTATGGAGTAAATTCCAGAAATATTTATGGTAAATATTTAAAATATATTTCAGAAAAAAATAAGCATAAGTTTGGAAAAAGATATAAAAGCATAACGTATTTTATATTTATTTATTACTTTCATTTTTATATACAGAATATTTTAAAACATACAAATAAATATAAATGATTTACTGTACATCTAGAGAAGAGAAGTATTATTTGCAAATACTTTTGAAAAAATAATTCCTTTAAATCAAAGATAATGTTACATTATCTATGATATACACATAGATAGCTTACTGGGTTATGAGTAGCAAAATGCCAAATAACAAAATTATTTTTTTTTTATATCGCCTTGTGCACGATTAATATTTCTCATGTTTATAAAACAGAGATCTGTGTCAGTGTACTCACAGTATTTAAACTTAAACTGTAATAGATTTAATAGGGAGTGCAATGTTTTTCTGACACCTAAAAACATTTAAATAAAATCCAAAGAATATGTCATAGCATAGAGAGAGGATACAAAATTTGAACTGTGACTAACTTTTTCAAATATCAGGTAATTTATCCCATTGGCAAAGTTTTAAGCTAATGACTACTTCCCATGGACTTATATTAGAAATAATCAATTATTCTTACATTCAAAATAAAGTTAGTTAATGCAATAAATGGATGAAATGAATAAACTTACGACATTTGCTTTCATCTGTCCAGTCCCCACAATCATTGTCACCGTCACATATATAAGACTCTGACACACATCTGCTGTTGACGCATTTCAGTTGATTGGGTGGACATGTTTGCTGGTTATCTTCATCTGAAATTTAACAAAATATCAATATATTAACCTCCAATTGAACCTTCTTCTTAATGAAAAACATTTGCTATTCAAACTTAAAACATTGGATTACTGTAAGCCATATGCAACTTTGAACCAATTGGGATACGAGTCAAATGCGGTTATACTGTTCCAAACTCAAAGGAAACTAACTTTTTGTGCCTCAAAAGTTAAACATGAAATCAATTAAATATTTTATAGTATGTTAGTATGTTTGTCGGATAATAATAATCGAAGGGAAATAATAATCGAAATTTAAAGAAGTCGTATAGTTAAAATCCGATTTCTCATGAACTATTTAACAGATTTCGCTCAAAAAATAATCAATTTTTATACATACAATTACATACTTTAAAATTAAGTAAAAACTTACATACCTTACAATTCAATTTTTTCGACTATTATTAAATATAATAACAAGAAATAATAAATATGTACTAAATTTTATTTCTTGCTTGGAATCATCTTTAACCCCCTGACGGTTCTGCACGTAAAAAATCGTATTTTTACCTGCACTCCTCTCAGCACAGCAAAACCGGTTTTCTAATATTATTAGATAGAAAAGTGGTGTATTGGGGAGAAACATTCTCCCAGTTTCGCGAATTTGATAAACCGCCAATGGATGAAATAAGCGAATTTTTCTTTATAATTGTGTGCAAAAACTGTTCAATTTTTCCTAAAACGTTCCTGAAATATGATAAAATACACAAAAAGTAAAATTAACATTAAGGGGTCCGAACTTTGGATTGCTTTCCAGACCAAACTACAGGGGCCATAGTTCCCAGATTGCTGCTACCCCCTATATTTTGGGGGTCAGAAATCCGAATCCGTCGGTAAAAAGGTATGTTTACTAAGTATCCGTGAAGGTACGTTTTTACTAAGTATCCGTGAAGGTACGTGAACGTACGAAGGTACGAAGGAAAAGTACGTTTTTTTTGTCTGATTTCATAACATAAAATATTGTCTGCACTAATTAATTAGAATATTTGAGGTACTCTACCGAACCACTAAGATTGAGTCCTAGAACGTGAAGATCCAATCATCAGATCAAAAGTTATTCAGAGTAATCCTTTTTTTTGAGGCGCCATTATAGGCATTGCCTATTTCCCAGCTCTTGAATTTCCTTTAATTTGTGAATTTAATCATTTTTATTTATTCCTCGATCCTTTTTAAATAATTTAAATCAGTTAATTTTATTTCAATTTCATGCAGAAGGAATACAAATATATTTCTCTTCTCAATAACTGCAACGGTTAACTTTTTATTTCAGTGTAGAACTATTTATTATTCAAGACAACTGAGCATCGAAATTTATTTTAAACTAAAAATTATTATGATTTTCAAAAATTATTATGATTTTAATCCTGTTTTTAAAATTAACTTCAAATAGTAATCTACACCAACTGTTGTGTATATATTATATATATCAAAGANTCTGAATCACCCGTCCCCAAGGGGTTAAATAATTTAAATCAGTTAATTTTAATTCAATTTCATGCAGAACGAATACAAATATATTTCTCTTCTCAATAACTGTAACGGTTAACTTTTTATTTCAGTGTAGAACTATTTATTATTCTGAGCATCGAAATTTATTTTTAACTAAAAATTATTATGATTTTAAAAAATTATTATGATTTTAATCCTGTTTTTAAAATTAACTTCAAATAGTAATCTACACCAACTGTTGTGTATATATTATCTATATCAACATTTCTAAAAGAGGATTTGTAAACTCATGTATATACTTTTAGGATTTCGACAGTTTGGAAAAAAATTAAAAAAAGTGGCAATAAATGTTTTATACATTTATTGTAAATTTAATGGACTTTAATTTAATGATTTTAAGAATTCCGTTGGTCAGTTGATTCCCAAATATTTAATTTATTGTATTCCCAAATATTTGATTTATTATTTTATTTTATTGAATCCCAAATAATTAATTATTATTACAAGCATTTTAATCCTGTAATTATCATTAAAAACTATAATAGCTAAGGCTAAACTGGTCATCGTGTCCTCATCTTTGAACTTCATTTATTGAACCGTTGACGGTATAACATACTACAGCTGTTAAAAGAGCTATATTCAAATTTTCGATTTTTAAATCTTTTGTTTAATTAACGTTGTCACCGAAATATACGAGAGTATTTCTGCATACACTACTTATATTTTTGTATATTGTATTGGTTCATTAATATCTGAGAAATGATAATCCCCATGATGCAATTTGTTTCATAGTTTTAAACTATAGTAACTTTTGCAACAAAAGAACAGATTAAATCTATGAAAACAAGAGAACAAGTAAAACTATTTAATTTACAAAAAACTGTTTCAAAGAGTTAATATGACCAAGCCAATCAAAATTTCAATTTAAAGTCCAATTATATAAAGTTCTACAGTTTTATAATTAAATTTCACATAAAGCCTACAAAGTTCTAACTAGAGTAAAGACAATTTGCGCTTTGAAATAGATATTTTGTAAGTTGGACAATTTCAATTACAGTCTTAGTAATTAACCAGTTCATATTAAATTCTATAAACTGTACATTTTAGTGACATCCAGTACAAGAGAGGTCGTTCATTAATTAACGCTAAATTAGTGAATCAAACTGACTAGTTGTTATTACTCCGGCTCTAATCTAGCTAAGCTGTCCATAGGGATGTTGAAGTTCATTTCGCCAATTTATTATCGTAATGCGCCAACAACGTTGCCAAGAAATAATTCTAAAGTCTACATTCACGCGTTGAAATACAGCCAATCTAATGGATGAACAGAGGATTCGAGATTGTTTCAATCAAGTTCTGTTTCCCTATCTTGATCATTACGTACACGAAATCCAATCAAATCTTGATTAGTCAGTCAATCTATTTCAGTTAGAAAGGTTTCGTTTTTGTCGTCACGTCAATTTTGGTAAATTTTCATTAGTTAGGGATAAACGCTAATTTAAAAGGGAAAAATATCAGCTCAATAATCCATAGTCTTTTTCGTAGTTTCCGGTTTCTCGAAGTTAGAACTGGTTTCGAACTTCATTTTTATGAAAATTACTTTTATTAATTTATTTTCATATTCCAGATATAAACTTTGTTTATATTATTTTTATAAAAAACAATACAGTCTCTTGAAAATTATTCATCCTAAAATTTTATTTTCAAGAAATTTATTGGTATTAAAAATTTGAAATTCGTAGAAATTACTTATACTAAAACTACACATGAAATTATTTATACGATAACTTTGTTTTATGGAAATTATTTTAACTTAAACATTTTTAAAAGAAATTTTTTTTTAAAGAAAGTTATTAAAAAACAACTTTCTTCTCTTGAAAATTATTCATTCTATAATTTTGTTTTCAAGGAATTTATAGATACTAAAATATTAATTCCATAAATATTACTTACACTAAAACTTTGTCAAATAAGTTATTTTTTCTTGTTTTTAACGCAAAATTAGCAGTAATGAAATAAATACACACTATGTTATTTTTCATTAAATTTCACTACTTATTTTTAAAATTTAAATTTATAACGAAATATTACAAAAAGTTTCTCACACAAGTATGTGAAATAATTTTTTTTTAACTAAAGCTATCTGTGACAGTTAAAATGTAATGCCATGTATAAATTCAAAATAAAAGTATTGTGACTCCTCATTACTTTTCTTTTCCGCAGAAATTTACACATAATATTAGAATAAAAAAATCATTACATGATCGATTGAAAAAAAATTGTAGTTTCTTTTCCCTTTTTTTGTAAACTCAGTGCATTTGCTATTCTAAATGAGTAACGTATATGTTTGTAATTATTAAAAGTATCTTGCAGAAAGATATTAGCGATGGAGAGTTCTGACGCAGCTAGCTAGAAAAAATTCTGACACAAGGCATTTTAAAAAAGGTTTTACGAAAACGAAACGTAAAGAATAATAAAAGAATGCAAAACTATTATGGTCGTCCTTAGCCTTACCTCAATTTAGGAGTTCATAACATTTTTCTCCCATTATATATAAACTCATCCCTAACCATAATCATCAGTTTCCTTCATTTTCTCCCTTATTCATTTAAGAACTTATTAATTCGCAATATCAAGTATCAATACTAAGCATTATTTAGTAAATCGAGTGTCGAAAAATGTTGGATGACGCTCGTAACATATCAAATAACGTAACGCAAATAAGTCCTTATATCAATTCTCCTTGGAAATGAAAATTAAATAATCTCGTTTCAGTTTCCTTATGCTTTTGTTTTCAAACAGATTAAATACATTTCAGACAGTAAAGAGATATCTCTATAATGGATATCAATACAATTAAATGTAGTAATTTATTACAATCAGTAAAATTAGAATATAAAAGTTATATTTTTAATAATCAAATAACTTACATCTTAAAGCTTAAATGGCATAATTATAAACTTAAAAAAGATGAAATGACGAGAATTTTATTAAAAAGTTAAGAATTTTTTTTAGAAATTCAAAAACCCTGTAAAATTTATTAACAGTGCTATAGGAATCTTTCACGGAAGGAAGGATCTCATAGAAGGGTTCAAAATTTTTAAGTGTTTAAAATTCTCATGAACTGATTCTCAAGTGATTAAAATCTCTTGGATCTAAACTTTGAAAAAAAAAAAGAATTATCTCTGAACAAAATCTGCGGTGATTAAAATCTCTGAAAACTGAGCATCATGTGACTAAAATCTCCAGAACACAAAATCTCAGGATGATTGAACTGTATCATCTTAGGTGATTAAACTCTATTAAAAAAACAAAATTTCAGGTGATTAAACTCTATCAATAGCAAAATCACAAATGATTGCCATCTTGCGTGGAAAATAAACTAGAGCGTAAATCAAGCAAAAACAAGCAATTTAAAGTTTGCTAAGACTTATACAAATCATGCGTACATTTTTGCATTGTATTCTCCATTTATAAAAAATGCAGTTTACTCTTTAAAAAAATGTGTTCAATTATAAAGACCGGCAATA